TAATTGAGCCTGGTATCCTACAGTTACCTGTCTTAATGAAGCAATAAACTGTACATAACAAGTATTAACCCAGATATAGATTAAAAATCATATTTAACTAGGTCAAGTTGATTGGTTTGCTTTGTTGTGTTTTACGTCCTATTAACAGCTATGGTCGTTAAAGGACGTGCCAGGTTTTGGTGGTACCGTCATTAGATAATGGAGGACAAAGTTTAGTTTGTAATGGTATATAAAGATATAGTTTCATTTCATTAAAGCTGTAAAACTTATTCATGATCATCATTATGTAGACCTGGTTAATAGGTAATACATTTTAGGAATTCAGTATAATAACAATACCTCAGGTAATTTGGTGTGACATAATGTTGATTATAAATGATTGAGATAGATAACTATGTGAGGTCACATAAATAAGCCTAAAGGTAGTTTAGGAGGGTTAGACAGTGTCATTATAGGGAGGTGGTCGAGGTCTGACTAGGGGGGGTCACACAGGGTCATTATAGGGAGGTGGTGGAGGTCTGACTAAGGGGGGGGGTCACACTGGGTCTTTACAGGTAGGTGAACGAGGTCTGAGTGGGGGGGTCAGACAGGGTCATTATATGGAGGTGGTTGAGGTCTGAGAAGGGGGGTCAGACAGTGTCATTATAGGGAGGTGGTCGAGGTCTGACTAGGGGGAGNGGGAGGTGGTCGAGGTCTGACTAGTGGGGGTCACACAGGGTCATTATAGGGAGGTGGTCGAGGTCTGACTAGTGGGGGTCACACAGGGTCATTACAGGTAGGTGAACGAGGTCTGAGTAGGGGGGTCAGACAGGGCCATTATATGGAGGTGGTTGAGGTCTGAGAAGGGGGGTCAGACGGGGTCATTATAGGGAGGTGGTCGAGGTCTGACTAGTGGGGGTCACACAGGGGCATTACAGGCAGGTGAACGAGGTCTGAGTAGGGGGGTCAGACAGGGTCATTATATGGGGGTGGTTGAGGTCTGAGAAGGGGGGTCAGACAGTGTCATTATAGGGAGGTGGTCGAGGTCTGACTAGTGGGGGTCACACAGGGGCATTACAGGCAGGTGAACGAGGTCTGAGTAGGGGGGTCAGACAGGGCCATTATATGGAGGTGGTTGAGGTCTGAGAAGGGAGGTCAGACAGGGTCATTATATGGAGGTGGTTGAGGTCTGAGAAGGGAGGTCAGACAGGGTCATTATAGGGAGGTGGTGGAGGTCTGACTAGTGGGGGGCACACAGGGTCATTTCAGGTAGGTGAACGAGGTCTGAGTAGGGGGGTCAGACAGGGCCATTATATGGAGGTGGTTGAGGTCTGAGAAGGGGGGTCAGACGGGGTCATTATAGGGAGGTGGTGGAGGTCTGACTAAGGGGGGGGGTCACACTGGGTCTTTACAGGTAGGTGAATGAGGTCTGAGTAGGGGGGTCAGACAGGGTCATTATATGGAGTTAGTTGAGGTCTGAGAAGAGGGGTCAGACAGGGTTATTATAGGGAGGTGGTCAAGGTCTGAGAAAAGAGTGTAAGACAGGATCATTATAGGGAGATGGTCAAGGTCTGTGTAGGGGGTCATACAGGGTAATTATAGGGAGGTGGTCGAGGTCTGAGTAGGGGGGTCACACAGGGTCATTATATGGAGTTAGTTGAGGTCTGAGAAGAGGGGTCAGACAGGGTTATTATAGGGAGGTGGTCAAGGTCTGAGAAAAGAGTGTAAGACAGGGTCATTATAGGGAGATGGTCAAGGTCTGTGTAGGGGGTCAGACATGATCATTATAGGGAGGTTGTCGAGGTCTGAGTAGGGGGGTCAGACAGGGTCATTATAGGGAGGTGGTCGAGGTCTGAGTAGGGGGGTCAGACAGGGTCATTATAGGGAGGTGGTCGAGGTCTGAGTAAGGAGGGTCAGACAAAGTCATTATATGAAGGTGGTTGAGGTCTGAGTAAGGAGGGTCAGACATGGTCATTATAGGGAGGTGGTCAATGTCTGAGTAAGGGGATCAGACAGGGTCATTATAGGGAGGTGATCGAGGTCTTGAGTATGGGGGTCAACAGTCAAAGACAGGTCAGCAGGGATAACCAATAATCAAGGGATGGTCATTGTTTACCAGAATTGGTCAGACAAGATATAAATAGAGTGTTATCTGATATATAGGTTTTAGGAAGTACAGAATAATGATGTGGAGATTACTGTACCAAACTTCACAGGAAAACTGTCGATACAGAATACAGAACGGTGATAATCTGTCAGTCAGTAGCAAGGTGGACCTGGCCCTCCCTTGAGACAGTAACATGCTCTACCTAATTGTCTGGGAGGTTGGTGCAGCTATTCATCATGACATAGATGGATTTGGAAGGGCCCCAAGTTGCCTTGAGAATAAGTAACTACAGACCCTGTCCATTATTTGATTGTGTTTGTTTATGACAGATTGTTAAGTGTCATGCACATCCATAGTTTGTTATCCCTACAGACTGACTCAGAGTGTCTTTGTCTGGTGATTCTTCAATCAATCTAAAATTTTACTGGTATGAAGAAGATTGTATTATAAGCAAACAACATCCACAATCATCTTACTGCGGCTATAGGTTAAAGGTAATGGAATAAAGAGAATAAAGGTTTCGATAGCTGACAAAGAAAAACAAAATGTTTTATAGCATACTAATTATGTAAGTAAGAATAAATGTTAAAGCACACTAATTATATAACATTAAGATTAAAGGTTATAACATACAAACTAAGGACAATGGTTATAACATACAAACTAAGGTTAATGGTTATAACATACAAACTAAGGTTAATGGTTATAACATACAAACTAAGTACAATGGTTATAACATACAAACTAAGGTTAAATGTAATAACATACAAACGAAGGTTAACGGTTATAACATACAAACTTATATTAAATGTAATAACATACAAACTAAGGTTAATGGTTATAACATACAAACTAAGGTTAATGGTTATAACATACAAACTAAGGTTAATGGTTATAACATACAAACTAAGGACAATGGCTATAACATACAAACTTATGTTAAATGTAATAACATACAAACTAAAGTTAAATGTTATAACATACAAACTTATGTTAAATGTTATAACACACAAACTAAAGTTATTGGTTATAACATACAAACTAAAGTTAATCGTTATAGCATACAAACTTATGTTAAATGTAATAACATACAAACTAAAGTTAATGGTTATAACATACAAACTAAAGTTAATGGTTATAACATTCAAACTAATGTTATTGGTTATAACACACAAGCTAAAGTTAATGGTTATAACATACAAACTTATGTTAAATGTAATAACATACAAACTAAGGACAATGGTTATAACATACAAACTAAAGTTAAATGTTATAACATACAAACTAAAGTTAAATGTTATAACATACAAACTAAGGACAATGGTTATAACACACAAACTAAGGTTATTGGTTATAACATACAAACTAAAGTTAAATGTAATAACATACAAACTAAGGACAATGGTTATAACATACAAACTAAAGTTATTGGTTATAACATACAAACTAAAGTTAAATGTTATAACATACAAACTAAAGTTAATGGTTATAACATACAAACTAAAGTTATTGTTTATAACATACAAACTAAAGTTATTGGTTATAACATACAAACTAAGGACAATGGCTATAACATACAAACTTTTGTTAAATGTAATAACATACAAACTAAAGTTAATTGTCATAACATACAAACTGAAGTTAATGGTTATAACATTCAAACTAATGTTATTGGTTATAACACACAAACTAAAGTTAATGGTTATAGCATACAAACTAAAGTTAAATGTTATAACATACAAACTAAAGTTATTGGTTATAACATACACACTAAAGTTAATTTTTATTGCAAAGAAACTAAAGTGAAAGGTTATAACATACAAACTAAATTTAATGGTTATAACAAACAAACTAAAGTTAATGGTTTTAGCATACAAACTAAAGTTAATGGTTATAACACACAAACTAAAGTTAATGGTTATAGCATACAAACTAAAGTTAATGGTTATAACACACAAACTAAAGTTAAAGGTTATAACAAGTTTGTAACAGGTTTTCAGTGCATTTCAGTATATTTCAGTGACTTGAGTAAGTTTAATGAAATATAAGTTACTAGATTTTGTATTGATGTTGTGAGTTTTAGACTTAATGTCCAGATTTACTGATGACATTGATGTGACATTGTTTGTTACAGTTCTCCTGTTACAGACTTGATGTCCAGATTTACTGATGACATTGATGTGACATTGTTTGTTACAGTTCCCCTGTTACAGACTTGATGTCCAGATTTACTGATGACATTGATGTGACATTGTTTGTTACAGTTCCCCTGTTACAGACTTGATGTCCAGATTTACTGATGACATTGATGTGACATTGTTTGTTACAGTTCCCCTGTTACAGACTTGATGTCCAGATTTACTGATGACATTGATGTGACATTGTTTGTTACAGTTCCCCTGTTACAGACTTGATGTCCAGATTTACTGATGACATTGATGTGACATTGTTTGTTACAGTTCCCCTGTTACAGACTTGATGTCCAGATTTACTGATGACATTGATGTGACATTGTTTGTTACAGTTCCCCTGTTACAGACTTGATGTCCAGATTTACTGATGACATTGATGTGACATTGTTTGTTACAGTTCCCCTGTTACAGACTTGATGTCCAGATTTACTGATGACATTGATGTGACATTGTTTGTTACAGTTCCCCTGTTACAGACTTGATGTCCAGATTTACTGATGACATTGATGTGACATTGTTTGTTACAGTTCCCCTGTTACAGACTTGATGTCCAGATTTACTGATGACATTGATGTGACATTGTTTGTTACAGTTCCCCTGTTACAGACTTGATGTCCAGATTTACTGATGACATTGATGTGACATTGTTTGTTACAGTTCCCCTGTTACAGACTTGATGTCCAGATTTACTGATGACATTGATGTGACATTGTTTGTTACAGTTCCCCTGTTACAGTCCAAAGGTATTGTGTCACAGGTGTTCCCCCTCCATAACCAGGACACACGACTAGGGATGAGGAAATGCTGGGTACAGGGGTTCTTCAAGAAACAACCACTGGGTAAGTTCAGGTGGCATCAAAATGTTGTTGATTCACTGGGGTATAACACAGCACAACGTCTGTATGCAGCCAAAGCCGTGTTCGAGGCCGCTGTGTGACTTGATCAGCCTGCAGATAATGTATTGAGTTGAAGATGAGGTTGGTTTTGTTGTCACAGTACTCAGTCAATATCACTTTATTGCGTTAACATGTTAGACATGTCTTATTCGTGTGCTGGCAGTAGATGACCTGCAGGTGGCAGCTTTGAAACATTTGTGTCCATGACAGTTACATTGACCATGTCATTGTCACAAGATATTTCAAGACAACTTTTCCTTCCGACCGGGCCATAGACTTCATACTAATCATGGGTTAAAGTGAAAAACTACTTCATTTGTCTTAAATACAAAACAACTGGCAGGTGATAACACTTGCTAACAATTGTCACTTGGTATCAATCACCTGCCAGGAAAATAATAAATAATAGCAATACTCAATTGGATTAGATAAGTTGATAACTGTTAACACATATTGGTATACATAATGACTAGGTGACAGCGAAGACTTATTAGCTTCAGGTTAGTGTTTGTATTGATTTTCACAGATAAGATCCGCGACTACTTTGGAGTGAAGATCGCTATGTACTTTGCCTACCTTGGTCATTACACACTTGCTCTATGTATCCCAGCATTCCTTGGGGCACTAATTTGGTTTTTCCAAGGACAGGATGAGGTGAGTTACCAAGGAGATAAATTCTACTGAGAAGTGATTGATGTTTAGTGATATATGACCTTTGACCTATTGGAAACAAGACGATTGCTAGAGCTGATGATATACACATATTTGACCTTTGACCATAGAGAGAGAAACAGTTCTTCATAGATATTTAATATTTTTTAGATTTTTAGAACTAGAAGAACAGTAAATGACCTTGTTGTTTGGTTTATAAAAAAATCAAACCTCAGAATAAAAAAGAATTGATCAGTTACAAAGCTGAGAAAACTGAGTGCATTTCCGTACTTTTGTTAGTTTCGCAATTCAGAAGTTACCTGTGAATTTTCACATTTCGAGCATCGTTTGCCACCATCTTGGATTATTAAGCTTGACTAAAATGTTTTCTCTTCAAAACGCTACCTAGGCTGTCTAAGTAGTCTACCCTTCAAGATGAAAATTTATGTAGCTTTACATAGGTCCGATTGTTCTGAACCCTGGAAGACCACCAGTAAATTACCTTGTGAAGATATATATGCAAATTACTTCCACCAGTGTTTTGGGAGGAAATCTCAAAAACTATTATGGATGCCTTTTGATATTTCTCTATTCTGATTCTATTTTTTTTAGAGATGTCACTACTTTGAATGAACTTTTAATGACCTGATACAGTTTAACATTTGACCTTTTGGTGAAGGTCGACGACCACTAATTGACCTTGAACAGTTAGCTGAACTTTGACCTGTTGGAGAATGAATGACCAATGGTTACAATTTTTTTACCTTTGACCTGTTGTAGACTCTTGATAACCATTGATTGACCTGGTACTGTTAGTTGACATTTGACCTGTTGTAAAGTGTTGATGACCAGTGATTGACCTTGTACTGTTATTTGACCTTTGACCTGTTATAGACTGTTGATGACCAGTGATTGACCTTGTACCGTTATTTAACCTTTGACCTGTTGTAAAGTGTTGATGACCAGTGATTGACCTTGTACTGTTATTTGACCTTTGACCTGTTATAGAATGTTGATGACCAGTGATTGAACTTGTACTTTTATTTGACCTTTGACGGTATACTGTTGTTTAACCTTTGACCTGTTGATGACCAGTGATTGACCTTGTACTGTTATTTGACCTTGACCTGTTGTAGTCTGTTGATGACCAGTGATTGAACCTGTACTGTTATTTGACCTTGACCTGTTGTAGACTGTTGATTACCAGTGATTGACCTTGTACTGTTATTTGACCTCTACCTGTTGTAGTCTGTTGATGACCAGTGATTGACCTTGTACTGTTATTTGACCTTGCCCTGTTGTAGACTGTTGATGACCAGTGATTGACCTTGTACCGTTATTTAACCTTTGACCTGTTGTAAAGTGTTGATGACCAGTGATTGACCTTGTACTGTTATTTAACCTTTGACCTGTTGTAAAGTGTTGATGACCAGTGATTGACCTTGTACTGTTATTTAACCTTTGACCTGTTGTAAAGTGTTGATGACCAGTGATTGACCTTGTACTGTTATTTAACCTTTGACCTGTTGTAAAGTGTTGATGACCAGTGATTGACCTTGTACTGTTATTTAACCTTTGACCTGTTGTAAAGTGTTGATGACCAGTGATTGACCTTGTACTGTTATTTTACCCCTACCTGTTGTAGACTGTTGATGACCAGTGATTGAACTTGTACTGTTATTTGACTTTGACCTGTTGTAGACTGTTGATGACCAGTGGTTGACCTTGTACTGTTATTTGACCTTGACCTGGTGTAGACTGTTGATGACCAGTGATTGACCTTGTACCGTTATTTAACCTTTGACCTGTTGTAAAGTGTTGATGACCAGTGATTGACCTTGTACTGTTATTTTACCTCTACCTGTTGTAGACTGTTGATGACCAGTGCTTGAACTTGTACTGTTATTTGACCTTGTCCTGTTGTAGACTGTTGATGACCAGTGATTGACCTTGTACTGTTATTTTACCTCTACCTGTTGTAGACTGTTGATGACCAGTGATTGACTTTGTACTGTTATTTGACCTTGACCTGTTGTAGACTGTTGATGACCAGTGATTGACCTTGTACTGGTATTTGACCTTGACCTGTTGTAGACTGTTGATGACCAGTGGTTTGTAGCGTTTGCCCTATTCAATGCTTTCTGGGCCACACTGTACCTGGAGCACTGGAAACGGCGAAGTTCTGAGCTGGCCTATGAGTGGGGCACTCTGGACAAGAAGGATGAGTTGTTAGATGATCCACGTCCACTCTTTTCGGTAAGAATCTTGTTCACTTATACTGAAATGTAGAAACCATGATCTTTTCTATATTCCTGCATTATTGAATGAAAGACAGAATACAAAAAAGGGCAAAAATTGGAATATATACCATTTCATGTCTGATTGAGGAACCAAACATCGGCTGTTTTGGTGAAAGAAAAGTGGGATATCCACTGCACTATCCAACCATCCTTATATTGACATGGACAATGATGCCTAATACAATACATGTTTGTCATACTATACATACCTCATACAAATGTAACCTTTAGTTTCTATGTATGTAGTTATCGCATTTTGTGAATGAACTTTGTGCTTTTATCAGGGAAGTTTACGAGAAAGTCCTGTGACTGGGAGACAGGAACCCTACTATGCGCCATGGAAGCGTAATCTGTTCCGTTACTTCATCAGCTGGCCAATCATCTTCCTGTGTCTTTGCCTGGTGTTCGTGGTCATGTTGCTGATCTTCCAGCTCCAGGAATGGATCAACAACCTGGTAGCTAAGGGAGATATCCCAGGGTTCTGTACTTTCCTGCCCAAGGTCCTACTAGCTGTTTCCATTGGTATCCTTGACGAGGTCTACAAGAAAATTGCCTACTGGCTCAACCACATAGGTATATATAATGTGCCATGCTGTAACTGACATACCTGTTGAAACTGTACTGATGATTACAAGCAATTTTCATTTCATTTTATGTTCCACATTTCAAGCATAGTTTGCCACCATCTTGGATTATTAAGCTTGACTAAAATGTTTTCTCTTCAAAACGCTACCTAGGCTGTCTAAGTAGTCTACCCTTCAAGATGAAAATTTATGTAGCTTTACATAGGTCCGATGGTTCTGAACCCTGGAAGACCACCAGTAAATGACCTTGTGAAGATATATATACAAATTACTTCCATCAGTGTTTTGGGAGGAAATCTCGAAAACTAGGAGTCCACGCCCATTTTATGAATATTGGCAGAGTGGGTTTTTGATCACTAAACAGAGGAAACAAAAGAATTCCTTAAAATTTAAAGACAATTGTTTTTATTTTCAGAAAATTACAGAATGACTGAGACCTATGAAAATCACCTGATAATAAAACTGGTCTTGGTAAGCATGTGTAACTTTGACGGAACCCTACAGGAATATACATATAGGCCCAACAGCTGGTAACTCAACTAGCACATAACTGTTTAGACAGGTTGGTCGTTAACAAAAATTGATATAATGTAACTATATACATTAATTCTGGGATAAGAGACCACTTTCAAACTCCTCAATCACATCGTGACTCACGGATCACTCATTGACTGGGCTGTTTTTATCAATCACATCTTGACTCACGGATAACTCATTGACTGGGCTGTTTTGATCAATCACATCGTGACTCACGGATAACTCATTGACTGGGCTGTTTTGATCAATCACATCGTGAATAACGGATCACTCATTGACTTGGCTGTTTTGTTCAATCACATTGTGACTCACGGATAACTCATTGACTGGGCTGTTTTGATCAATCACATCGTCAATAACGGATAACTCATTGACTGGGCTGTTTTGATCAATCACATCGTGAATAACGGATCACTCATTGACTGGGCTGTTTTGTTCAATCACATCGTGACTCACGGATCACTCATTGACTGGGCTGTTTTGATCAATCACATCGTGACTCATGGATCACTCATTGACTGGTCTGTTGTGATCAATCACATCGTGACTCACGGATCACTCATTGACTGGGCTGTTTATATACTGTCAGCTCCTATCACTTGTCAAAAGTCTACGTAGTCAGCTACTGTAAACAGAATCATATATCATGTACATGTAGCACTAGAATTGCAACAAAAGAGTAAAATCTTTAATATTATTTTCCGGTTAAATGAAATTAGGAATTATGTAAAATGTAAAAATTGTAAATTTATGTTCATTGTATTGCCACAAAAAATTACAGCATTAATAATATAGGAGCTTTACCACTCGATCATGAATACTTATTAATATCCAGAAAATTAAATTTTGTAGTACTTGACCTACAGTTACAAGTTTCTGAACCACTTACACCTCATTGTATTTACATTGAGTTTGGTGTTTTTGTAGATTTTGCAGTAATCCTCACCTTTTTGTAGAGAATGGTCTCAGTAAAATATTCTACACATCTACAAAGCTGCCATCCTAAGGCACTTCTGCTTTTGCCAGTACCCAGTACAAAAGTTTTGACAGTTGAACCAAAGTTTTGCCATTTGTGAAAAAGGGACAGACCTACATGTAGCCTTGACAACTTTCAATGCCCATATAACATTTGCTGGTTGTCCAGGCTTTAGTAGATGGTCCAGCTCACACAATTCAACAGTCATGTGAGAGTTATACCCCTTGGCACTGAAAACTGACAACCTGCCATGGACTTAGAGAAAAAGATAAGTTAAGACAAATTTCATTAAAAGTCGGTGGGCATTTTAAAAAACAAATGGCATAAGATCAATAGAGCTTTTGACTGACACACATGTTACATGCAAAGACATTCACACTTGGACAAGTTAGACATATTTGCAGGACTTGCAGGAATTTATAGCCAGCTGATTAACCAATTAGAGACTGCAGTGTGACAAAAGTGTTTATATAGGTAATTTATATCACTAACATCAGACTTATGTATGGATGGATGTACAATCTGTAGCTGTTGTCAGATCATTAATTTTTCTTCCTTCCTTTTCTAGTTCCAGTTTGTGAACTCCTTTCTATCGCTATTTTACATAGCGTTTTACCTACAGGACATGGACCGTCTACGAGACGTAAGTAACCAGCTACACGGTAAAGGTATGATAGAGATGTAAGTAACCAGCTACACAGTATATGTTTTATAGAGATGTAAGTAACCAGCTACACGGTATAGGTATGATAGAGATGTAAGTAACCTACACGGTATAGGTTTTATAGAGATGTAAGTAACCTACACTGTATATGTATGATAGTCAGAGATGTAATGAGCTTACAATGTTATTATGTATATATGTTTAGAGATCTTGCTTTCTCCTACAATTCAGAAGTGTATTCATGTTTTAAATTGGCCAAAAAAATAAACCTGTCTTTACCTTATAGAGAAAGACAGTTTACAGGAGCCCTTATTATGTCACCAGTTTCCAATAATATTGTGTCATTACTTCATAGCCCAAAAGAATTATATAATTAATTATGTTGGGTATTTCTTGTGTCGTTGATGACGGTGGAAAAGTTTGGAATCTTGTTGGTAGGAAAGCATGGGAGAAATGTAATCAATCACCTCTGTATTATATAGGCAGAGAAATCCAGATCTCCACCCTATGAATGAGATGTTTGAAGTGAAGTATTCAGAAACACATTGTGCTTAATTTCAGAGATCTTGTGTTTGAGACTCCTCTGTCTACTTCACACAATAATAGTAGAATATTTATTCTCCCACCCTTCACAGGTGTGTCTCCCATTTTATCCGGGAAAGATCAGCTTGTCACCCCCTAGGGGGAGATAGCCTCGTGCCGATTAGCACGTGTTCAATTGTGACGTGATTAAAATGTGTCATCGGTAATTGTGACGTCGTCAAAAGTGAATGACGATTTGCATAACCCACATGTGTTTTTGTTTACAAACATGGCAGACTACTGTCGATGGAGCTGTGACTGAAATAATAGGATGGGAGAAAAATAATCATCCCCTACCTTGAGGGTGTAACAGAGAAATCTCCAACCCTTGGGGTGATTTCTTTGGTTGTCTTACCCTCAGCAGAACCTCGGGTTAGACAACAAAAAACATCACCCCTCGGGTTGGAGATTTCTCCGCACACCCTTAAGGTAGGGGAAGATTCTATTAATCTCCTGCCCACCATTGCTCATTTTGGGGGTCAGTCATAAACAGTAAAGTCTATAGCTGCCACTGACTTCAGAAGTGATGGGACATATTGAGCAAGCAGGACTCAGTTTAACACTGAAGAATATTTCCATAAAAGAATTCTTATTAAAGGGACATAACTCTGACACTCTCCTCAATGTAATTGTGTCGTCCAGGTACCTTCTTATTAAAGGGACATAACTCTGATACTTTCCTCAATGTAATTGTGTCGTCCAGGTTGATATGAATAAAAAAGGTTTTATGCCATACCGCAGTGTCCGTCGTCCGTCCGTCCGCCAACTTTTCCTTTAAAACGCTACTAGTCCTGAACGGCCAAGTAGAGTTTGACTAAATTTGGTCTGGAGCATCCTTAGGCCAAGGGGACTCAATTTTGTATAAAAGGAGGGTGTGGCCCCCCTGGGGGCAGAGGGGCGGGGCCCAATAGGGGAAATAGAGGTAAAACCTTCAAAATCCTACTTCTACAATAGGGATTAATGGATTTTATCCTAATTTAGTCTGGAGCATCCTTGGGCCAAGGGGACTCAATTTTGTAGAAATGGTGGGTGTGGCACGCCTTGGGGCAGATGGGCGGGGCCGAATAGGGGAAATAGGTAAATCTTTCAAAATCCTTCTCCTACCGTAGGGATTAAGGGATGTTATCTTAATTTAGTCTGGAGCATCCTTTGGCCAAGGGGTCTCAATTTTGTAGAAATGGTGGGTGTGGCACCCCTTGGGGCAGATGGGCGGGCCGAATAGGGGAAATAGAGGTAAAACCTTCAAAATCCTTCTACTACCCGAGGGATTAAGGAATTTTATCCTTATTAGGTTTGGAGCATTCTTGGGCCAAGGGGACTCAGTTATGTATAAACCGTGGGTTTGACCCCCTAAGGGCCTGAGGGGTGGGGCCCAATAGGGGAGCATAGCAAATTATTCTTTAAAATCCTTCTACTTCTGTAGGAATGACAGGATTTGGTCCATATTTGGTGTTGAGCATCCTTGGGTTAAGGGAAACCAATTTTGTATAAACAGTGGGTCTTGCCCCCTGGGGCTTAGGGGCGGGGCCCAATATGGGAAATATAGCAAATTATTCTTTAAAATCCTTCTTCTGTAGAAATGAAAAGATTTGGTCCATATTTGGTGTGAAGCATCATTAGGTAAAGGGGAACCAAGGGGACTCAATTTTGTATAACGGTGGGTATGACCCCCCTTGGGGCATAGGGATGGGGCTCTGTTTAAAATTTGTTATATCTCAAGAACTGGATGGATCTTTCTGAAATTTCATATGTACTTACAGCACCTACCATGGAGTGCTATATTTTTACTTCATACCAATTATTTTAAACATATTCAGGTGAGCGATACAGGCCCTCTGGGCCTCTTGTTTGGTAAATATTTTTTGTAAAATATTTCAATCTAGTAACAAAAGTGATAATTCTCATATTTACAGCAACTTGCAGCCATTTTGATAACACGTCAGGTGATTGGGAACATCAAGGAAGCTCTGTTGCCATACCTTCTGTGGAAGATCAAACTGTACAAGGTTGGGTATGAAATGACCTGTGATGCTTCTACTACAAACAAAACAGAGGTCTCTGATCTCACTGAGTCTATAGGAGGTAAGGACGAGGTCAGAGAAAGAAAGAAGGTCCAAGATAAAAATGAGTTGAACAATGCTGGAAAAAGTGAGGCAGCTGGACGACAGAGGAAGCCGTCACTAACGCAGGCAGAGGTGGAGAGCACCATGAATAAGGTGAGCTGTGAGACCTGTGGGTGCTGGGGTCTAGGTTAGGTTTGTGGTAACTGAGGTCTGGTCAGGTCTGTGGGTACTGGTGTCTGGGTCAGGTCTGTGGGTACTGGGGTCTGGGTCAGGTCTGTGGTTACTGGGGTCTGGGTCAGGTCTGTGGGTACTGGGGCTAGGGTAGGTCTGTGGGGACTGGGGTCTAGGTTAGGTCTGTGGTTGCTGGGGTCTAGGTTAGGTTTGTGGTAACTGAGGTCTGGTCAGGTCTGTGGGTACTGGCGTCTGCGTCAGGTCTGTGGGTACTGGGGTCTGGGTCAGGTTTATTGGTACTGGGGTCTGGGTCAGGTCTGTGGGAACTGGGGTCTAGGTTAGGTCTGTGGTTACTGGGGTCTAGGTTAGGTTTGTGGTAACTGCGGTCTGGTCAGGTCTGGGTACTGGTGTCTGGGTCAGGTCTGTTGGTACTGGTGTCTAGGTTAGGTCTGTGGGTACTGGGGTCAGGGTCAGGTTTGTTGGTACTGGGTTTGGGTGAGGTCTGTGGGTACTGGGGTCTATGTTAGATCTGGGGGAACTGGGGTCTGGCTCAGGTCTGTGGGTACTGGGATCTAGGTTAGGTCTGTGGGTACTTGGGTCTGGGTCAGGTCTATGGGTACTGGGGTCTAGGTTAGGTCTGTGGGTACTAGGGTCTAGGTTAGGTCTGTGGGTATTGGGGTCTGGGTCAGGTTTATTGGTACTTGGGTCTGGGTCAGGTCTGTGGGTACTGGGGTCTGGGTCAGGTCTGTGGGTACTGGGGTCTAGGTTAGGTCTGTGGCTACTGGGGTCTAGGTAAGGTCTGTGTGTACTGGGGTCAAGGTTAGGTCTGTGGCTACTGGGGTCTAGGTTAGGGCTGTGGCTACTGGGGTCTAGGTTAGGTCTGTGTGTACTGGGGTCAAGGTTAGGTCTGTGGCTACTGGGGTCTAGGTTAGGTCTGTGTGTACTGGGGTCAAGGTTAGGTCTGTGGCTACTGGGGTCTAGGTTAGGTCTGTGTGTACTGGGGTCTGGGTCAGGTTTATTGGTACTGGGGTCTGGGTCAGGTCTGTGGGAACTGGGGTCTAGGTCAGGTCTGTGGGTACTGGGGTCTAGGTTAGGTATGTTGGTACTATGGTCTAGGTTAGGTATGTGGGTACTGGGGTCTAGGTTAGGTCTGTGGGTATTGAGGTCCATGTTAGGTATGAAAACAGGAAACAAATTGTTTTGAAAAACATGAGTTACTACATTGTCGTAGCATTACAGTCATGACATAATATTTGTGTTATTTGATTATAATTAGGTGATGTCATCAATCTAATTCCTCATAGGTTTATGGTTAAACCAACATAACTTGTTTGTATCTGTATGACACTGATGTTTACTGTGTTGTGCAGTATGAGGACACATTTGAGGACTTCCTGGAGATGTTTATACAGTTTGGGTATGTAACCCTGTTCTCCTCCGCATTCCCTCTGGCTGCCCTCTGTGCCCTTATGAACAACATCGTGGAGATCAGAAGTGATGCCTTCAAGCTGTGCATGAACCATCAGAGACCATTCGGCCAGCAGGTGCAGAACATAGGAACATGGCAGGATGCCCTTGAACTGATGGGGGTCATCGCTGTCATTGTAAACTGTGCTCTCATTGGTATCTCAGGTCAGGTGACCAGGATGGTACCCAACTCCAGTATCGTGTCGACCATCATCATCATCGTGATCTTAGAGGTGAGGCCAGCTCATCATCACAATCATACAGTTTACATTCAATAAACAGTTACATTCCAGCTATATTAAGTAATCAGCTCTTTGAATGATTACCTGTATGAAGAAATCAATTTAAAATTAACAACCTGATAATGATTTACTGAACCTGTATTTAAGAAATTATGAGAGTAATTTATGAGACCACTTTATTGACCTTCCTGAGGGTAGACATTGAACACTGATTTGACTGTATCACTATAACACAGGTCTGACTGTATCACTATAATACCGATTTGACTGTATCACTATAACACAGGTCTGACTGTATCACTATAACACAGGTTTGACTGTGATACAGATTGACTGTATCACCATAGCTATAACACTGGTCTGACTGTATCACTATAATACAGGTTTGACTGTATCACTATAACACAGGTCTGACTGTATCACTATAATACAGGTTTGACTGTATCACTATAACACTGGTCTGACTGTATCACTATAACACAGGTTTGACTGTGATACAGATTGACTGTATCACCATAGCTATAACACAGGTCTGACTGTATCACTATAATACAGGTTTGACTGTATCACCATAGCTATAACACTGGTCTGACTGTATCACTATAACACAGGTCTGACTGTATCACTATAACACAGGTCTGACTATATCACTATAATACAGGTTTGACTGTATCACTATAACACAGGTCTGACTATATCACTATAATACAGGTTTGACTGTATCACTATAACACAGGTCTGACTGTATCACTATAATACAGGTTTGACTGTATCACTATAACAGGTCTGACTGTATCACTATAACACAGGTTTGACTGTATCACTATAACACAGGTCTGACTGTATCACTATAATACTGGTCTGACTGTATCACTATAATACAGGTTTGACTGTATCGCTATAACACTGGTCTGACTGTATCACTATAATACAGGTTTCATTTGATCATTTTTTATGAATAATCAATGATAAAGATTTCTCAGAACCAGGTAATATTTACTGAGGGATTTGATACTAATATGTTCATATCACTTTTAACAAGTATCTTGTATTTTTCAGCACATCATTCTTGTCCTCAAGTTCCTTATAGCATATGCTATTCCTGACATACCAGAAGCCATAGCAACCAAAAAAGCTAAACTTGAGTTTCTACGACGACAAGCATTAAAAGTTAGTGTTTGTAGTGTGAACTACAATTACCTTATGCTACTTGTAATCATAGCTATGTATTTCTTTTCACTTTTCAGTAATCAAGTTTTTTCTTATTAACAGAAAACTAACTGATGAAGATGTTAAATTCCTATATATAAGTAACTAGAATGCATAATGATATTAATTATCATCATAACAATATGTTACTACTTATAACCATTTTCATCATAATTATACACTACTAAACTTATAACCGTATCTGTTGCATGTTGTCCTTAGTGAAGGAGACTGTAGAATGTTAAATATTCTGTATACTTATATTTGACTCAATTCCCTTTATAATGCATCTCTAAAGCTCCAAGTTAAAACTATTACAACCCTATTACAACCCTATTCATGTAACATAATTCTTCATTTGCATTATGATCTAATTCAAAAAAAGGTTTTCCACACTTTGTGATTAAATCTTTATGCTAGTGGTAACATACACTGATATACCATCTCCTTGTTTACATATACTGATTTACCATCTCCTTGGTTACATACACTGATATACCATCTCCTTGGTAACATAAAATGATATACCACCTCCTTGGTTACATAAACTGATATACCATCTCCTTGGTTACATCCACTGATATACCATCTCCTTGGTTACATAAACTGATATACCATCTCCTTGGTTACATAAACTGATATACCATCTCCTTGGTTACATACACTGATATACCATCTCCTTGGTTACATCCACTGATATACCATCTCCTTGGTTACATAAACTGATATACCATCTCCTTGGTTACATACACTGATATACCATCTCCTTGGTTACATCCACTGATATACCATCTCCTTGGTTACATAAACTGATATACCATTTCCTTGGTAACATACACTGATATACCATCTCCCTGGTGACATACAACAATGTACCATCTCCTTGGTAACATACACTGATATACCATCTCCTTGGTAACATACAATGATATACCATCTCCTTGGTTACATCCACTGATATACCATCTCCTTGGTTACATAAACTGATATACCATTTCCTTGGTAACATACACTGATATACCATCTCCCTGGTGACATACACCAATGTACCATCTCCTTGGTAACTCGTATGTACCATTCCTTCAGGACCTGAATACCACCACATTAAGATTGAAGGTTACATAGTTTGGAGGGTTTCTAGATCTGTGAGTTGTATCAGATGGATTAGTTGATTTATTCGTCTATCATTGTGATATTTCAGAAGTTTCAGTCGTGACTTAATGGAACAGGACTACAAGGCAAGGAAGCATGCCTACAGTTGGATATGAACATGAGGTTACTTTTGATCACTTCTGTAGGAAATTTATGGTGATACAAATATATTTTACTGAAAATGGTTCGTGAGAAAGAAAAAAAAGCCAGATCATTTGGAATGAGATATGACGCTTTATCAGATTAAGCAAATGTCCTGTAATACAATGTTTTAGGAAATAAATGTCACTTTATATATATAATTTTCATAAATCCATGTGATCAGCAGTAACCTCAATGCCCTAACAGCGTGATTGAAGTGAAATTACAACTAGTTTGAGATGGACTTGATGTGTGCACAAATAACATCACTATGGTGTAAATGTGTGGATTTATAGTCACCCTATCATGGCTTTAAAACTTATGTGGGAATCAAACTAGGCTTGTAACAGAATGGGTTTCTGAAGGTCAAACTAGGCTTGTAACAGAATGGGTTTCTGAAGGTCAAACTAAGCTTGTAACAGAATGGGTTTCTGAAGGTCAAACAAGGCTTGTAAAAGAATGGGTTTCTGAAGGTCAAACTAAGCTTGTAAAAGAATGGGTTTCTGAAGGTCAAACTAGGCTTGTAACAGAATGGGTTTCTGAAGGTCAAACTAGGCTTGTAACAGAATGGGTTTCTGAAGGTCAAACTAGGCTTGTAACAGAATGGGTTTCTGAAGGTCAAACTTGTAACAGAATTGAGTTCTGAGGGTCAAACTAGACTTGTAAGTTGTAACAGAATGGATTTCTGTAGGTCAAAATTGAATACATATTGGAATGATTGATTAGTCAAACTAGGTCACAATGGAATGTTTCATGAGTGTGAAAATTAAAATTTGAGTTTTCCTTACATGAAAAAGTTTTGGAGCTCTACAAAGGAGATCATATATATGCTTGTTTGTGTTTGCTCTGTGTAATCTAACATAACCCATCTCTAATGGGTCAAGATGGAGGTGAAGGTGTAGTCCAGGTGAGAAACCACTAACCTACCACTAATTATAACTTTGTATACTGGTGGCAGGGACCATCTTAGTGACTATCTTCTTTATTCTTTTTACCAGAACTTATGGTACATTCACTGCAATGAAGTCTTTCCTAGTACCTATTGCCGAGCAGTTGTGATAAGGAATTTGTTCCACCTCTGCTGCTTACAACTGTTGACTACTGCCAGAACAAAGTACCTGTAACTTCTAGTCATACTGTTACCTAGACAAGTGTGTGTATCTGGATCTATAGACATGCTAATGAACCTGTTATATTTCACAGAAACTAGAGTCCCAACTCTCAACATCAGTGTCAGCCAGTCCCACAGACAAGTTGTGTCGACAGAAATCCCGGTCAGAGAGCAACGGCCATACCAGACAGATTGGACACCCTGAAGGATTTAACCGGAATTACTACCAAACAGTGACTGTCAGCCCATCCTCCCCTTACCAGAAAAACCTTGGGGAGGTGCGCCTCTCCTCAGCCAACCAGGGACCAGCCAGCGAAACCTCACACACAGGGCATTCCCCCCATATTGTCAGTACTTCCTTTACAAATATACCAGACCTAAAACTCAGTGCTGCCTCTCTACGGACAGGCCAAAACATCTGTACAATAAAGACACCTTTAGGTAAACCAACATCCACATTTGTGTCCAAAGTTACAATCGCACCGAAGCGCAGTGCATCCAACACACCAGAGGTGTCAACAGTGTCTTCAGTGGAGGGCAGTAGACAGGGTCCGGCCCGGGACCTACTGCCCTCTTACATACCTCCCCAACCCTACAGGAGCATCTCAGCAGGTCTGTCCCACAGAGCTAATAGTCCAGACGGAGGAGACACTACACCAAAAGGATGTACTCCTCCAAGACCAATGTCTCCAAAAAACTGTCCCGATTCAAAGATCCCTGTGAGGATTTCCGATTACGGGAGTTCTGGGTAGGAGAGAAGGGCTTGTTACTATTTATTGTTGATTATTGTACATATATTATGTTGATGGTCCTTATATAACACACTTACTAATGTGCTTGTTGCTGTTATAGACAGGGTATCTACACTCGCTCACTGTACAGTGTTGTGTTGATTAGTGTCATCGGTGCTACCTACAATCAGTTCAATGTTCAAGCAATTCAATACTTATTGAAACCTATTTTAACCAGAGAATTAGGTCAAACTTGTAATTCAGGATATTCATAAAAATAGCTTTTGTATACTTCTTTCATGTTAGCATTGATAATCATTCATGTCTGGCAATAACCTTTCTAGACAGTGGTGAACCCTGGTGGCAACCATTCTAGACAGCAGTGACCCCCTGGTGGCAACCATTCTAGACAGTGGTGACCCCTGTGGCAACCATTCTAGACAGTGGTGACCCCTAGCGGCAACCATTATAGACAGTGGTGACCCCTAGTGGCAACCATTCTAGACAGTGGTGACCCCCTGGTGGCAACCATTCTAGACAGTGGTGACCCCTGGTGGCAACCATTCTAGACAGTGGTGACCCCTAGTGGCAACCCTTATAGACAGTGGTGACCCCTGGTGGCAACCATTCTAGACAGTGGTGACCCCCTGGTGGCAACCATTCTAGACAGTGGTGACCCCTAGTGGCAACCATTATAGACAGTGGTGACCCCTAGTGGCGACCATTATAGACAGTGGTGACTCCTGGTGGCAACCATTCTAGACAATGGCGACCCCTGGTAGCTGCAATTTCCAACAGACTTGACAAGGTTCTTGACAGTTATTGTGCTAGAAGCATTCTAAGGGTGAGACTATCATGAACTTTTAACATTAAAAAGCTTTGTTAATACAAATTGCTGAATTATGTAACACATGTATTAACTGATCCCTTTCCTGTCATCAATTTAGTTGCAAGAAATCCTGAATTACAAGTTAAATATTGTCTGGCCTGTCTCTCAATTTTAGTTTCGATAGTGAGAGACTTTTAGGCGTCATATTTCGAAAATCTTTGTTGTTATGGTTCCAAATAGTTCTGTCTGTTATACCCTGCAGCTGTTAGAAGGGCTATGGCGGAATCCCATCATCAACAAGACAGGACTGGCTTTCTCTGTTCATGGTGTTGTATGTTGAGTTGTACTAAGTTGATTTACATGCTGTGGTAAAGTCTATATAATTTGTTGTTGGATTTCTTTATCATTTTTGTTTTAGTTACAGTAGGTATGATACAAGGTATGTGAGATTCAAAGCTTTAACCTATTTAAGCATTACAGGGTATGTGAGCTTTGTTTTTTTCTTTATATTGTTAGTTAGAATGTACCGGTATATGAGATGTTAGTTAGAATGTATCGGTATGTGAGATGTTAGTTAGAATGTATCGGTATATGAGATGTCAGTTAGAATGTACAGGTATGTGAGATGTCAGTTAGAATGTACCGGTATGTGAGATGTTAGTCAGAATGTACCGGTATATGAGATGTTAGTTAGAATGTATCGGTATATGAGATGTCAGTTAGAATGTACAGGTATGTGAGATGTCAGTTAGAATGTACAGGTATGTGAGATGTTAGTCAGAATGTACAGGTATGTGAGATGTTAGTCAGAATGTACCGGTATCTGAGATTCAAAGCTTTAACCTATTTAAGTATTACAGGGTATGTGATGCACTGTATTTGTAATTTTATTTACATGGTAACCATAATTTGAGTTCAAATTTATCTGGTATTGTGAGATTTAATTTTAATTACTGTGATCAGTGGAAAGTGACAGCTAGGTATCAGTAGGTTGGTCCTAAGTGATTGGGATAGTGAGCGCGAGGTGAGAGCTGTTTAAGTGAGAACTGATAGTTTTTGTTTCCCTCTCTGCTGGTGCTGTCTGTAGTTATTTGTTTCCCTCTCTGCTGGTGCTGTCTGTAGTTATACTCCAACTTGTGTGCAATACAATATTACACAGATCTATAACCCCGTTATTGTGTACATTAGCTTTGTGGTAGATGGTCCAGTATAGTCATTGTTTTGTATTAGATCTGTGATTACACATTAGCTGTGTGGTATATGGTCCAGTATAGTCATTGTTTTGTATTAGATCTGTTCAGTATTTTGTTGATCCAGAGCATCTACAGGGTAAATGTGAAATCATTTTATTTGCGAGTGTTAAAGTATTTTGATGATTGTAGAGTATGGAGTATTTGTGAAAGTCCTTGGCCATTCCCCCTTGTGTTACTGGTAATCCTCCATATCAGAAAGATAATCCGCTAAATTTTGTCCTGTTATTTTGTCGGAATGAGAGATATGTATTTTATGACCTTTGTAAGGTCACATAGTTTGGTTCATCAGCGAACCGTATTGACCAATTATCTCCCTTCCCTTACAGAAGAGTATAACCGTAGAGATTGCGCTTGTAAATGTATTTTGTACTTTTTTTCTTTTAAATTGATGACTGATTACAAGTACAGTAGATTCTTCTTAGTGTTGATCTTTTGTAGTCAAAAGGAAATACAGATTATCAAAAATAGGATATGGAAAATGAAATTATGCAGATGAAATAATCAGGGATTGCTTCTGTACAGGTTTTATAAATGAGGGCCCGTTTCTGAGTGAAGGCCCAGTGATCAGCTTAATCCAAAAAAAAACAGTTATTCTTGTCATCATTTTCAATCCCTTTATTCTCAATTTTAATCTTTTGGAATACCCTGGTATATTTTAGATGAATTATCATTAAAGTAATTAGTGTTTGCAGAACTGGGCCCCGGGGGGAGGAGTTTTAATGATTTTCAGCAAGTAGATAAAGAAAGTTACTCTCAACATTATTTGCCTATTTTGATTTTGTTTTGTTTTGTTAAAGCTAGAAGATTGCAGCATTGTTGGATGTTGATGAATTTTGCACATGTTTTTATTATTCTTGTTATTTTAATCTAGTTACTAATGGTCATGCTCCAGAGTACACAGCATATCAACTTTTCCTGGACAAACGTAGATATTGAAGCTAGTCTTAATTTGCTATAGCCGAGGTTCATTGCCTTGGACAATCATAGATATTGAAGCTAGTCTTTTCTATAGCCGAGGTTCATTGCCTTGGACAATCATAGATATTGAAGCTAGTCTTTGCTATAGTCTGACTTCGTTCCCTTGGACAATCGTGAACATTGAAGCTTCAGATAAGGCCCTGTTGATCTAGAGTAAGAGACATTGGGGCTGGTTCTAGTGCTCTACTGTTGATCTAGACTAAGAGACATTATAAGGGCTGGTTTTGGGGTGCTAACTGGTTCTAGTCCAGCTCCAATGCTCAGTACTGGGGATCCTCCGGGCAATCTGTGTCATATTATGTATAAACTTTACACCAATATATTGGTTTATTTTTCAAAACATTATGAGGTGTCTGGTTATTTTATTTTCATGACAATTTTTGTCAGCCTTTTTCCAAATAAATCTTAACAAATGAAAATCGTTTGCTTCTCTTGTTATTTATCTTCGCTTGGCGTTACATGGTTTCCATGTTCTTTGGATAGAATTCCACACAAGTGGATGTGTCACGTGTAACAGCTAATTAGGAGGAATGGTGACCGAGCTAATTAGGAGGAATGGTGACCGAGCTAATTAGGAGGAATGGTGACCGAGCTAATTAGGAGGAATGGTGACCAAGCTAATTAGGAAGAATGGTGACCGAGTGCAACGAAGGAATAAAATACATCATATAATCCTCAATCAGATAGCAGTCACTTCCACAGGTGCTCGGGTTCTGGAATATATGTGATATATTATTGCACCCCCTTATACTAATTGATCATAGTATAAGGGGGTACGATAATATATCACATATATTCCAGAACCCCAGGACCTGTGGTCACTACATGTACATCAATTATTTGCAAATTTGGTCAAGCATCTAGTTTGAGCAAGGAACATTGGTAGAAAAATATATATGCCAGGTGACTTTATTGCATTCAGGTAATTCCTTCAAAAGGTATTCTCTGGAAATCATCAGCATGAGCAGCAAACATAATGGAGGGACTTTGGTGGGAAGAATGCTAGGAGAGTTAAACCAAAATCTGATTATTCTTTCAAAAGACATATCTTTCAGAAACCATCAGTTATTGAGATCTGGGCCCGTATTCATGAAAGAGTTCTTGTGCTCAAGCATGGATTCTGTGCTCAAGGCAAATTTCTTTTAACACACTTAAATCATGTGGTACGGTCAATAAGTCCTGTGTAACCGTTTAAAATGATATTCGGTTTAAAATGTGTTTTGTTCTTAATTATCACCGGAACAAGATATTGGGTTTGAGCACAGAATCTGAGTTTGAGCATGAAAACGATTCCCTGAATACAGGCCCAGGACAGCCTTACTAAGTTTGCCCAAATTTAGCAGAAAATGTAGCTCAGTAAGTTATCTACATGTAGGTACATGGCAAGTTTGATTTTTTCTTCAAAAGAAACTTCTGCAAACAATATACATCTGGCTGTCATATTGAATTTGAAAATTGAAATAGAGTTGGGAATCTGATACTATAAGTATCTGAGGTAGGTTTCGTGAAAATTAACGATCCCTGAACTACAGCCAAAATAAGAACTACAGAACTGTATAAGCATTGGAAACAGTTTTCGCCTCCAACATTTGAGCGACCAGGAACAGGTTGTCGCTATAACCAATTGAGCTACTGGTCAGCGGCAGTGCTTTTGCCTGTTTGTCCTACAGTTACATTGTATAATATACGTTATTGTATAAAGTAAGGGGAGGTTACAAAGAACCACAATGGACTTCAGTGTTTTGCCTCCACTGGAACAGGGAACCTTAAAGTATTCATAGAGGAAGCTTGTCAGCTCAAAATTAAACTCGATCTATGATGCTGCAAGAATCATGAAAACTAAGCAAGTAGTCACAAGGAAACCATTTTCGATGCCAATATATCAGATCCAGGTCAAAACTTGAGCTAAAACTATTTTTTTGGTTTCTGATGCTTACAACATTACAAAGTGTTAGAGCTTCCAACTGTACCAGTATATGCTTCAAAAAATAACGCTTACAAATCATTCTGAAACTGTTTTAATAGTAATGTTCGTTTGACAATATATATAAGTTATTGATCACATCAATGGTAGAGTAAATTGTTCAGATCTTTGTAGGTTAAATAATACTTCAGATATATGATGTCACTGGTATTACACATCACAGATGAGAGTGTCTGATACTCACGAAGGAGGTCTGGCAAAACACAGCTGTAGTACAGTAGACCAGAGGCCTAGCCTAGATCTACACATATTTGTCAAAAACAGTCAAAATACAGCCAGCACACTGGCTGACCAACAGATCACACTCGGTCAGCACACTGACTGACCAACAGATCACACTGGTCGACCACAGATCAAACACACTGGCCAATTAAACCACTCTCAGCCAGCACACTGGTCAATTAAACCATTCTCGGTCAGCATAATCCCATGTCAATTGGATAACACTACACTCATCATAACAGCCAATACAGACTACAATCGAGGCCAACCACTGACTACAATCACTCAGCACAATGGCTGACCATGGGCTTCAATTAGTAAGTACACTTGCTAAAACACAAAATACCATCAGTCAGCACACTGGCCAACCAAAGATCCTCACCTGTGGCCATCCTCGGCAGTAAAAAAAGCGTATCGTTTTCTACTATTAAAGAGCTGAAGCTGAACACCATGAGGAGTTGACATCTTATCAATGAAATTCTCTTTTTATCCGTTTAACATGATAACACCTAAAGCACATGTCTGCAGGCCTACATGAAAAAGAAGCAAATGTGTGCACCAGCCTTTATTAACTTTAGAAATAGATTTTATATTTCTGTAAAAGAATAGACTGTATGTTTCTGAAAGGTGTAATGATAAATCTAAAGTTTAATCCAATTGCAGTCTGATACGTGTCATCATGCATTATGTATACATGTAGCTTTTTTAAATTTTCTTTTTTAAATTTAAATGTTAAAATATTACAATAAATACGCTGAAACTGTCCCTCGGTTCCTTGAGACCCTACTCAATCCCGGGGATAATTTGGTTCCTTGAGACCCTACTCAATCCCTCGGTTAATTTGGTTCCTTGAGACCCTACTCAATCCCTGGGTTAATTTGGTTCCTTGAGACCCTACTCAATCCCTGGGTTAATTTGGTTCCTTGAGACCCTACTCAATCCCTCGGTTAGTTTGGTTCCTTGAGACCCTACTCAATCCCTCGGTTAGTTTGGTTCCTTGAGACCCTACTCAATCCCGGGGATAATTTGGTTCCTTGAGACCCTACTCAATCCCTGGGTTAATTTGGTTCCTTGAGACCCTACTCAATCCCTGGGTTAATTTGGTTCCTTGAGACCCTACTCAATCCCTGGGTTAATTTGGTTCTTTGAGACCCTACTCAATCCCGGGGATAATTTGGTTCCTTGAGACCCTACACAATCCCTCGGTTAGTTTGGTTCCTTGAGACCCTACTCAATCCCTCTGTTAGTTTGGTTCCTTGAGACCCTACTCAATCCCTGGGATAATTTGGTTCCTTGAGACCCTACACAATCCCTGGGTTAATTTGATTCCTTGAGACCCTACTCAATCCCTGGGTTAGTTTGGTTCCTTGAGACCCTACTCAATCCCTGGGTTAATTTGGTTCCTTGAGACCCTACACAATCCCTCGGTTAGTTTGGTTCCTTGAGACCCTACACAGTCCCTGGGTTAATTCTGTTCCTTGAGACCCTACACAATCCCTGGGATAGTTTGGCTCCTTGAGACCCTACTCAATCCCTCGGTTAGTTTGGTTCCTTGAGACCCTACACAATCCCTGGGTTAATTTGGTTCCTTGAGACCCTACTCAATTCCTGGGATAATTTGGTTCCTTGAGACCCTACTCAATCCCTGGGTTAATTTGGTTCCTTGAGACCCTACTCAATCCCTGGGTTAGTTTGGTTCCTTGAGACCCTACTCAATCCCTGGGTTAGTTTGGTTCCTTGAGACCCTACTCAATCCCTGGGTTAATTTGGTTCCTTGAGACCCTACTCAATCCCTGGGTTAATTTGGTTCCTTGAGACCCTACTCAATCCCTGGGTTAGTTTGGTTCCTTGAGACCCTACACAATCCCTGGGTTAGTTTAACAAACTATGTGGCCCTTCAAAATTACTTGTGCTTAATTTTGGCTGCAGTTCTTTAGAAGTCAATGAGGGTCCATAGAGAGGACGGAAGGCCAGTGATGAGAATACAACTCGTGTTGAGTACTCTGGGTGGGTACAGCTGTTCATTGTCCACCTTTCCCACAGAAAGCCATACATACAATGCGATTACCTTCCCTAGCCTAATGATTAGTAGTTGTAGTTGATTTCTTCGGTAGCAATCTTTATATGCAAAAGTTACATTCTGTTGAATTTTTTTGGGACAGTTGGTCAGCATACTTTCTACAGTATAATCATATAGTATATTAGCCTAACTAGTCCTACAGTGTAAGCCTAGGTAGCAGTGTACAGTAGAAGGTTGTGGCCATGGGTGATATTTTTGTTAAATGGCTAACCCCTGTATAATGATGTGTAAAAAAAATATAAAAATAAAACTGTACTAAAATTGGTATAAGCATGATGAAGTGGGCTATGTGAGCTTCACATTTGAAAAAAAGAAAGAAGATATTTTGGTTCGAGAATAAAATTTTGGCCATAATCCAAAAGGGTGCGTACACATGAAAAGCTAGCTTTACAGGAGGTAAAATTTTGACAACAGCACACGACGCAAAATTGCAAAAAATCAAGTTTTACAACTTTACTGGGACCCAGATAATTCTGCAACCAGGTAGGTAATCTTTAATTTCAGACAGAGCTTAGGAAAAAAATTACTAGTTGCGGGGGTCAAATTTTGGGTTAAAAATAGCAATTTTTGGCATTTTTTGGTAATTTTTGATGTGGTAACCATGGTTTTCACACAAGTGACATACATAGAAAAA